GGTGGTGATGGTGGTGGTGATGGTGGTGGTGATGGTGGTGGTGATGGTGGTGGTGATGGTGGTGGTGATGGTGGTGGTGATGGTGGTGGTGATGGTGGTGGTGATGGTGGTGGTGATGGTGGTGGTGATGGTGGTGGTGATGGTGGTGGTGATGGTGGTGGTGATGGTGGTGGTGATGGTGGTGGTGATGGTGGTGGTGATGGTGGTGGTGATGGTGGTGGTGATGGTGGTGGTGATGGTGGTGGTGATGGTGGTGGTGATGGTGGTGGTGATGGTGGTGGTGATGGTGGTGGTGATGGTGGTGGTGATGGTGGTGGTGATGGTGGTGGTGATGGTGGTGGTGATGGTGGTGGTGATGGTGGTGGTGATGGTGGTGGTGATGGTGGTGGTGATGGTGGTGGTGATGGTGGTGGTGATGGTGGTGGTGATGGTGGTGGTGATGGTGGTGGTGATGGTGGTGGTGATGGTGGTGGTGATGGTGGTGGTGATGGTGGTGGTGATGGTGGTGGTGGTGGTGGTGGTGGTGGTGATGGTGGTGGTGGTGATGGTGCTGGTGGTGGTGGTGGTGGTGATGCTGGTGGTGGTGGTGGTGGTGGTGATGGTGGTGGTGGTGGTGGTGGTGGTGGTGATGGTGGTGGTGGTGGTGATGGTGATGCTGGTGGTGTGGCAATGGTGATGCTGGTGGTGGTGATGGTGATGCTGGTGGTGGTGGTGATGCTGGTGGTGGTGATGGTGATGCTGGTGGTGGTGGTGATGGTGATGCTGGTGGTGGTGGTAATGGTGATGCTGGCGGTGATGGTAATGGTGATGGTGGTGGTGATGGTGGTGGTGATGATGGTGGTAGTGGTGGTGGTGGTGGTGTTAACTGAGGATCTAGAAGTGTTTAGAAAATGTGTAGTGTGTCAGGAAGTGTGTGATGAGGAAATATCAGAAATTGAGGAAGTCTGGTTCACAAAGAGGAACCAGTGATCTGGGTTGGGCCAACAGGTATGTGGGGAGGGGAAGGGTGTGTTTTAAAGGTGCTGGTCAAGAAAAAGAAAATCAGTGCCACTCTTCCAAGGTCCCACCCGCCCTGCTGATTGGCTCAAGCCCAGGGTACAAACAGAGGGGCTGCATTTTCACTTCCTGGTTGGCTCTGGTGGCTGTGCATCAGCTGGGCAAGGTACTGGTTCTATCTGCCTGGTGGGTTGGCTGTGGGGTGGTCTGTGCAGCTGCTGATTGGCTGAAGAGCAGGACTCCCGCAGTGGCTGATGGGCTTCAAGCTGGACAATGAAGGTCACTAGGGATCCAGGTCGACTGTTCTGTCCTCCTGCCCCTTTCTGCTTCTGGAAGACGAATGACTGGGCCTCCGGGTTCTCCTGACCCATTGCTGAACCTCAGAACACCATGTGAGGGACCTAGTTGGAAACACACTCCTTGATGTTAAAGTTGGGCTCCTCCTCAGGTCTGGCAGAGTAGTCAATGCCCCCATGGGAAGCTCAGGACACTACAGGTCAGGATTATCCATCAGAAATCGGTGGACTGCTCGGTTCAGTGTGCCTGTCTCAATGACTTTCAGCCTGCTGTTAATCCTGCCTCACTGTCACCTGCTCATCCTGTCCCCCTCAGTCATCAGCTCATCCCGTCTCCCTTAGTCACCTGACCATCCTGTCAGCCCTAGTCTCCTGTCCACCCTGTCTCCGTTAGTCACCTGTCCATCCTGTCATCGGTCAGTCACCTGGTCATCCTGTGAGTCTCAGTCACCTGGTCATCCTGTCTCCCTCAGTCTCCTGTCCATCCTGTCATCTCTCAGTCACATGCATCCTGTCACACTCAGTTACCTGTCCATTCTGTCATCAGTCAGTCACCTGGTCATCCTGTTAACCTTCAATCACTTGCTCACCCTGTCAACCCTCAACATCCAGGTCACTCTGTCACTACACAGTCACTGCATCAGCCCACACTTTATTTAATCAGCTGTCCTAATAATAGTCACTTGGTAAACTGTAACCTTTGAGGTACCAGGTCAGCCTGTTACTTTCCAGTCACCTGGTCTGTCCCATTGCAGACTCCTGGTTCAGTTCAGTTGATGGCTGACAAGTCTACAATTAGACCACAGGAATGTCATGGTTAATGATGAGCTCTGTACCTTATGAGCCAACAGTCATCCCCTTTGTAAGTTGGTTAATGAGTCAGTGAGATAATCTACCCTCCTCCATAGCCTGCCCTGCTAATGGGTTAACTTGCTCTCACTAAGTTAGAGTCTTCTTGAGATGGTCTATAAGTCACTCCACTGCTAGTCAAGAGGTTACCTATGTGTGATCTGGTTAATCAGTCTCATTGCTAACTATTCCATTATCTAGAAAATAAATGTTTACATGTTTCCACAGGTCAGGCACTGTCAGCTGTGGCCCCACACCTTTCACACCTTAACCCTCCGTCATGTTCTTCATGCTGTCTAATCCAGAGTCCTAGGAAGTCTAAGCCTGAGCCTCCTGTCTTCATCCTGTCCTCTGGGAGGGTGCTGACTGACCTCAAACGAGCTGCACAGCTCTCAGGACTCCTGCAGGGACCCCAGCTCCCTTCTGACCAGGTCCCTCCATCAGTTAGCAGGTCCTACAGAGACACCTCAGCAGCTTCCTCAGGATCCTGAGTGTGGAGGAAGAGCCAGAGTGTCCAGACAGATGTTCCCTCAGGAAAAGGGGACCAAGGACCCCAAGAAGAGCTTTCCAGACATGCTGAGAGGCTCCATGCTCTGTGAATCCACACAGCCCTATGCGACCTGAGTGCAGGACCCAGGAGAGGGGCCCCAGGGACAGAGACCACAGAGATCCCTGGCTGGCCTGTGCTCTCAGAGTCCCCTTCTTTACCTGTGTGGGTTCTCACCAAGCCCCTCAGGTGAGTCCCTGTCCCTTCTCACCTGACCTGACTTCCCTCCTTGTCACTTTCCTGAGAGTGACAGGCAGTCCCCTCACTGTACAGTCCTCCCACCGCAGTGCTGGGGTCCGGAATGGGCTTTGCCCTGGACACTCGATCCACCAAGTGGCCCTGGGGGAGCCAGGGAGGGAAGTGACGCTAGCCTTAGTGCTGAAACAGGATCAGACTTAGAGCTAGGCAGCCGTGGGTTGGTGTAGAGAGTTCTGAGGACCTTTCCCCTGGTGGGTGGGTGGAGGGGAAGAGGAGGTGCAGGTGGTCTGTGTCATTCTTCCAGCCGGGGTTCTGACACCACTGGTCACCTTGTCAGCACTTTCTCAAGTTCCTGTGGCTATCTCCAGCACCGTGTCCACGGCTGAGAGTTGTGCTAGAGAGAGAGGCTAAGGAAAGTGGGTTGAGACATCTTCTTTGGTCTAGAAGCCTCATGTTACCCTTCAATGTTTTAAGGGGCAGGTCTGTCTCTGACCCAAATCCTCCATTATCTTAAACTGGAAGAAGGTTACTACCGCTTCCAAGGATATGAAGAAGGTGAGGGCATCAGGAACTTTCAGGAACCTCCATCTGGTTTTTCACAGGCTTCATGAATTTTGACATAACATGTTAACCCTTCATGGGCTGGGCTGCTGCAGCAGAGTTTTCCACAGTTAACGTTGAAACTGGGTTTCATCATTTGATCTTTTTTTTAGGTGGAAGATCATGAACTCCTTCTGCTGTCCCCATCTCTACAGACACCTGCTCATGAGATCATTTTGAAGGGCAGAAGGCCCCGGCAGCTGGGGACATGTCCGTGGGCCTCCATAGAGGAAGGGCATGAATGTACACAGGAAGGAATTCCCACAGTGACATGGAGGGAAGCGTTCAGGATTGGAGGCTTAGCATGGCAGCGACAAGGAGACAGAGCTTGGGACCCGGGAGCCCCTGGGTGCTGTTTGTAAACACAGTTCCACAGTAACACAGTCATACAAGCTGCCCTGCAGAAGGAACATGGCTGCTATTGGATTTGAACAGGAGAACTGAACAGCAACCCAGTCCATGTGGGTGCAGAGCCTGAAATATTTGCCATCTGATGCTTTACAAAATAGTTTCCTGGCCTTTCACCTAGAAAGTCATGTTGAAAACCTTTTACATGAATCTTGGGGTTGAGGAACTCAGAGAAATATCTTGACTGCAGTCAGTGCTGGGATTTAGAATGTTCTAGAAATACTAAGGCACAATTATGCCAGAAGTATAATGGAGGCAGGAAATCTGAGCAGGGAAAAAGTGGAATGGTAAAAGAAGATGTAAGAGTGAAAAGAAAGACAGACAGAGACAGACAGAGACAGACAGACAGAGAGAGCACTGAGTGCAGTGCAAAGTCTGCTGTGGGGTTGCTAGCTTGTGGTGAGGCTGACAGGTCCAAACCAGACTGGGATGACCAGACAGCGACTCTGGATCAAATTTCCAAGGTACAGACCACAATGTTGAATCCTAAGAATATTTCAAACCATTTTATAGGCAGCTGTGGAGATGGCTCAGTTGGTAAGCATCCTACTGCGCAAGCATAAGGAACTGATTTTGGATCCCTGGAACCCACATAAGTCACACAAAACAGCACACATCTGTAATCCCAGCACTGATGGGCAGAGAGAAGTGACCCCAGGGTGACTGTAGCCAGCCAGGCTAGTCTAAACAGCCATCGTAGATTCAGTGATAGACCCTGTCTCATAAATTAAGAAGGAGAATGGTAGAGAATGACTCCTGAGTTCGAGGTCTAGTACCTATATGACCATACCTGAGCAAGAGTACATGCACACATTTGTATGCACGTACATCCAAGAGGAAGACAGAGGGGGAGGAGAAGAGGAAGAGGAAGAGGAGGAGGAGGAGGAGGGGAAAAAAGAAGATAAGGAGGAGAAGGAGGAAAAGAGGAGGAAGAGGAGGAGCAGGAGGAAAAGAGGAGGAAGAGGAGGAGCAGGAGGAGGTGGTGGAGGACGTCGTTATACAGAAAAGGAGCCCGAGACATGGAGCGGATAGTCTCTTGTGATGTGATAGTCAGTAAATGAAAAAACACAGACTTGGCCCCTGGTCTTTTATTGCATTCAGACCATTTCAACACAGTGGAGACACATATACAGGATTATCACCCATCATGTTGAGATTGTGGGGTGGGGTCCAGGAATCATCCTTGAGGGTCTGTAGAGGACACAGGTGCTCCAAATGGAAGCGACGCTCCTGACGGCTCCTCAGTGGGTTCAGATCTCTGAGAACTGGGAAGAGGGGCCACCCAAGGCCTTGACCCATGGAAGACAAGGGAGGCATAATGCAGATGCTGCTCTGTCCCCACGGCGGGGGCCTCCTGTGAGGAGCTTGGGTTCCCAGGAGGGCTGTGCACACTGGAGTCCTGCTGTTGGCTCTGTATGGAAAGGAAACAAGAGGGTCACAGTGGGACATGGGTTTGGGGACTCAGGGAAGTCAGAGAGTCTGAGAAGTGCGTTCACCCAATAATACACTTAATGCACTCTCGTCTTCCATGGAGCACTTTGAAGGCATCACTTAGTCGTTTATTCAACATTTATAACATCTCTTTGCTGCTTGCCAAATCTTTGCTGTCTGTTGTCTGTGGACTCTCTGGTTTTATATACATCATTCCTTGATGGGAGGATCACCAAACCATGTCCCATGAGGACTGTACCCTGACTGCAGACTCTGACATCTGGCTCAGAGGCTCCTCATCCTCTTTGGAACTGGAGTGATGTGGGTCCTTCTGAAAGTTCTCCTGCAGGTCTGGCCGTGCCAGTCATTAGCAATTCGGTTCTTTGTTTCTCAGAGAGACCACAATGGTGGTGTCTGTAAACTAAGGCCACCTGTGGCATCTCTAGACAGCTACACCATCTTTGATGTTTGTGACACCTATCAGGTGGAGACAGTGAGCTGTCCTGGCTCAGCGCACACAGTCAGACAGTTGCCTATTGGTGTTTTCATCAAGATGTACCCAGAGCCTGAACTCACACCCAGGGCCAGCACTGGGACCCTGGACTGCTTTTTTTCTTCTTTTTTTTATCCTGTTTTGGCTTTAAAGACAGAATCTCACCATGTAGCCCAGGCTGGACTAGAACTTGCAAACCTATTGCCTTGGCCTGGTTGAGTATTGCTGCTCCAAGCTGGACTCAGAAGTGACACAAATTATGTGACTCATTACAGAGTGGTAGAGGATGGAGGAGCTGAGAAATTGGTCCTGACTGAGTTATGAGTGCTATCAGTGAGACAGAGACCCAGTGAGAGAAGTGTGTGGAAGGATGTGCTGGTGTGTCTGTGCTGTTCTAATCTGGGCTCCTGATGACCCAGGAGACACTGCTTCCTCCAGGGATAGACAGTTACTCAGGACAGTGAAGGGCTTGCCTGTGGACTCAGTCAAGACGTCCACCCCAACTGCATCCTCTAAGGAGCTCTGACACCCGGAGCCTCTGTGCTTCTACCCCACAGCCCCAGGTGCATGTAGCAGGTGAGTAGAGACAGCCTTGAACGCCAGAGCCAGCTGCACTCAGACTGTCCTATTAACCTGCTGAGCCTGCTCTCCTGTCCCCTGTACCTTCCCATGAGCTCCACATGCAAGGCTCCAGCTCAGTTTGTCCCCACATGCCTGCACACTGCTGGCACACCCTGGTACAATCCTACATGATCTTATATGACTTAGCATGTCCATTTCTACTTGGACCCAAATGATATGCTATTTTCTCAATGATGACTGTTCCATGATTGGCAGACCTTGCCATGCCTGAATGGTAAACACACACACACACACACACACACACACACACACACACACACATCATGAGCCAAGGGTACAGGTGACAAGGACTGCTGAATGGGGAACCATCATGGACCACCCAAGAGAAGTGTCCTGAGGGGAGATGGGGTCCCAGGGTACCCATGTCACTCACCTGGAAGACTAGTCTGGTAGAAGGGCGGACGTGGTTCATGCCTGCTACAGTCCTGTCTGCTTTCTTCCTGTGTGTGTTCACTCTGGGAAGAGACAGGAGGTCCTTCAGACTGATTTGTACAGAGCAGAGGCCATTGCATGACCTTTAGAGGTAACCGAGGCAGGTCTAGGGAGCACTCACCCAGTTGGCACAGCTATAACTGGGAACTCTCCTCCCCCACTTCCTGGACATTCAGGGCAGATCCATTCTTGCCCATGGCTGCAGTTTTGGGTCTGACACTCTGGCCACACTTCCTCACAGCCTTCAAGTTCCTGCAGACCCACATCCTTGTTCTGCACCCCTCGCACCCTGACCCAGCGCTGAGGCTCACGTGAAGAAGATGAGGCAGAGGCCGACGAAGAGCAGGGCTGTGACACCAGCGCCCCCGATGGCCGCCAGAACCATTCCTGATGTTGCTGTTGTCCCAGGATCCCCTGCTGAGGAAGGAGGAGTGGCTGAGTGCAGATCTTAAATAATTAGGGCTGTGTTCCTCCTCACCCTGTGTCAGGTTCAGACAGTGACTCATCCCCCCCATCCCCCTCAGCCTCATCCAGAACCTCAAATGAAGGACTCAGTCCATCTGGACACCTTTACCCATGCTACACTCCAGTCCACCCAAGTCCTCTCCCAGCACCCGAGTTCCTGTAGACACAGGGTGTCCTTGGCAGACCCAAGAACAAGGCACAGCAGGCCCATGAAGCCTGGATCCCAAGGAATCCACTAGAGACGGTATCCTGGACAGAGAACGCACAAGACAGCACAGGGGAACGCCCGAGTGTTCCCTCCAGTCTCACTGGGTGGTCACTCAACATCAGTGTGGGTCTTTGAGCTACAGAAGGGGTCGGAAGCAAGAGAGAAGGACCCACGAGTCACATCCAAAGAGCCCTTCTGGTCTTGCCTCCCGTGGGATATCAGCATCCAGATTCAGAACATGCCTTAGATGTTTTGTTTCTTAGTCTTTAACAGCTGTGCCATCTCTCCAGCCCAAACAGAGAAAGTCAATCAGTGGTCCAGCCCAGTTCTAAAGCCTAATAACCATAACGACTGGCACAGCCAACTACCTCTATTGGTGCAGTGGTGGCACTGTTATCTAGGGGGTAATCAACAGCTGTCTAATTGGACTTACAGCCCTCTCAGTAGGTGTGAACTCATGAGTGGCACTGTAATTATGGCCAAATATATATGGCTGGAGAGTCCATAGATCCTAGAGAAAAGCCTATCTCTGGACAAATGAAATTTATTACTGTATGCTAAATATAGATCCTTATATTTTCAGATAAGTATATCATATACCACTCATCAAAGAAGCTTCTTTTTGCAACAGATGGAGGCTATTTCAGAGTCCACAATTGGTCACACACAGAGAATATATGTCTGAAAGATACCCAGTCCTAGGTGACACATCTACAGTGGAGCCTCTACACCTAAGGCTCATGGAACATAGCAGAACAGGGGGTAGAGAGAAAACTAGTGCACCCCTCAACTCTCACCGGTGAAGCTTCCTTATACAACAGAGTGCGAGGCACACAGGAGGCCACAATTGGCTATGTTTTGGAGAATAAGAGACTGCAGAGTGTGTGTCCCTGGATAGGACTCCTGGATTAAACCTCACCCACCCATGCCTCAGGGACTATTGTTGAAGAGGGGACAGAATGATTGTAAGATCCAGAGTTGGTAGTGAACATAAGGAAATGGAGTTTAGGCCACTGGGAACTTGTTCATATGAACTTAAACAATGCTGTCAGCATGCACAAGACCCACGCTGACTCAACCAGACAAAAACCCGCATAGAACTGGGGAAATGGGCAGCAGGCCCCAAGCTTAGCCGAGGAACTATTGGCAACTGATTACTGCTGGGTGAGGGAGAGTTGATCTTTAAGGGAGGGACTCTAGATAGGCTGACCAGACCCCACTGGGTGAACTTGCATTGCGAAACATCTGGGTACAAATACTTGACTGGATAGGACTTAACATATATGACAGAATTTGTGAAATCTGGTGGGGGTATGGGGGGGCATGGATGGGGGAGATGGGGTCTAAATTTGATTAAGATCTGTTATATGAAATGCACAAAAACTCAGTAAAAATATTTTAAAAAAGAACATGCCTTAGCTCCTGTCTTTCCAGCAAGGGCCAGTGTGGGGGCTGTTCATTTTAGGCAGATATCAGGGCTAAGGGCAGAGGCAGTAGCAGGAAATGTCCCAGACAGAATTTCAAGGTTATGTTTGTATTCCGTGTGGCACAGTCATGTGTGTCAGACATGAAGCGTGCTGAACCAAGGGGGAGTCTGACCTGACCCATGGACTCCAGGTGACAGTGACATGTCTGTGAAGGTCCACCTTTTCTGTGAAGGAACTTCCCGCCCACCAGGAGGAGGACAGGGACGACACAGGAGGCTGCACCTGGAAGGGCGGCAGCTACATGGGAATCTCCATGTTTACCACTCAACTTTGCCAGGAAATTAAGTCGCTTTAAACACTAAGTTCTATTTTTAAATGTCCTTGAGATGCAGGGAAGATACACCTGCACATCTGGACGGGGAGGAAGTTTCTGGCCCCTCATGGATGCCTCCACCTTGTGTCAGAGAACCATGGGAGGAGCCTGACGGGATGCTCGGGATGAACCTCCCACATCTGAGTCTGAAAACCCAGGTCTGAGAGGAGCTGGTACAGACAAGACCCCAGCAACAGCTCCATGAGTGAAGTGCCCTGCTGGGCCAGATCTGGGGAAACACTGATTGGGGTTCTCTGTAGCAGATGGTTAGCAAGAGGGGGTCTCCCTTCCTTTGGGGTGAGGTGAGGTTAGGCTGTACTGTCTGATACCATCCCAGAAATCAGACTTACAGAGGGACAGGTCCTGTGTTCCTCCATGTCCCCTACTCAGTCAGACTTCCAGGGTTCCGCTACCATGGTTCTCCAGCCCCACTGCCCTGCCCCCTCATACCCTCAGGGACACAGTGCCCTGACTATACTCACAGGTGACATTGAGCTGGACTGTCCTCTCCACAGTCACACCTGCTCCAGGGAAGGTCACCTGACAGGTGAGGTTGGTGCCATGGTCCTGGGGCCGGCCTGTGAGGGTCAGCACCGAGGAGAGCGTGGTCCTGGGGCCCAGGGAGGTGAGGGCAACTGACATCCAGGAGAAGATGGGGGGTGTTCCCCGCTCACAGGCCCAGGGCACAGAGCAGGTCAGGTTGATGGACTGGCCAGGCTCCAGGGTTGGTGGGATGAGGATGTCAGGGATCTTTGTCAGAGCTGGGGAGAGAGACCAGGGTGCACAAGCCATGGTGGAGATGTCCAAATGTGCCCCAGGGACAAGACCCTGCCTCAGGGCATTTCATGTCCCCTCACCCAGCCCTGCCGTCTGGTTCAGAGGATCTCCCCCAGGATGAGAGGCAGGAGACACCTGCCAGCCATTCCTGGAGCCCTCAGTATCCTCTGGCTGACCTCCCTGCTTACCGAGCACATGCACAGACAGCTGACTTTCTCCATAACTATATCTCACAGAAGGATCTCCCTCCACCCTGAAGAAGTACATTCCCGCATCTCTTTTCTGTGCATCTCTGATGAACAGAGAACAGTTCTGCTTCTGTGGGTCCCCGAGGAGAAGGAATCGGTTCTTGGTCGCCGTGTGCACTGGCTTTTGGGGGTCATTTGTGGCCACCGGAGAGCCATGATGTATATTGGCTCCTTTCTTGAACCAGTAACCAAAGACGGGGTGAGGAGAGTACAGAGAGAAGGGATAGATGACTCTGCAGGGCACAAGGACACACAGACCCTCCTGGACAGTCACTGACTTGGGCACCGTCAGCTGGTATCTCTGATCCTGAGCGAGGGACCCTGCGGAGACATGAGAGTTATCTCAGTCTTGCCCCACCAGCCCCTATCCCTGTGCCACTCACCTGTCCACAGCAGGGGCAGGAACAGTGACCACAGCATCACACAGTGAGTGCTCCTGGCTTCCTGTGCGTGAACAGAGGAGGTCTGAGCAGTTGAAAGCAGATTGTCGATGGTGACGGTCCTAGGCGCTGGTGTCACAGGACTGAGAAACCCCCCCAGTGGCAGTCCAGGAATGAGATCAGAGAGCTGAGTTCCCACAAATCAGGAACTTCCCACCCACATGTTATCAGAGCTGTCAAGGCCCTCGGACAGCAAACACTTCCCTTCTGCACATGGGGCATCATGGGAGCCACACTCAGTGAGGAGGACGTACCCTCAGCTCCTGGACCCTGTTTGGGGCATTTCATCCCACTTCACAGTCCCTGTCAGGTCAGCCAGTGCTGCCTGGTCACCCACAGCCTCTAGATGCCCTGGAGGCTCAGCCTGATAGGGAAGGTCTCAGGAGGCTCTGGTGGAGGGGTCATGAGGAATAAAGCATGGGGAGGATTCCCTGGGGTGGAGGAGGTGGGGATGAATGAGTGACTGAATGAATGCAGCATGCACATCATGAGCTGCTCCTTGCTGGGGAGTGGAGTGGGGAGACGGAGAATTTCTCTTAGGAATGAGGAAGTGGAGAGGCCACGGGCCACTCAGCTGCTGGTAGGGCCCTGATGCAGGGAATTATAGGAATCCCCAATCGATTGCCATCTGTGTCTAGCAGGTGAGTTCTCAGGAATAAGTGGGTGGAGTGTGTGGACTAGGACTCTGATGGCTTCAAGAGGATGTGGCCCCCCAGCCTGAGAGCTCAGCAGAGGGACAGCAGGAAGGAGTTGGGGAAGCTCGGACTCTGGAGGCAGGGGTCCTTCCCACACCCTCTTTGAGTCTCTGTTTCCCCGGTTGTCACACTGAGCTGACCGTGGCCCCCAACGCTCAGTCTAAGGAGAATCCAGTGGGAGGATAGAGGACGATGTTTTCTACAGACTCAGGGATGCTGCCATGCTGTGTGTCCCCAGCATGGCCCAGTGGCCACATGAGGGACCTGGCCTGTCCTCAGCTGTCATTTGAAAACCTTCCCATGTCAAGCACCTCTTCATGATCTGCACATCCTTATGGCCTCCTCATCTGAAGTCTCACAGGAGGACATCAGGGAACAGAGGCTGCCAGTGTGAACTGGGCTCCCTAATGCCTGCTGTCCTGCTTGGGGAAGGGCAGAGCACTTTGTACACAGGGGGTTGTCTGCACTCCTGGGCCATTATGGGATGAATTGGTCTATTTGCAAGTTCGTGCACTGAAGTCTCAGCCTCCAGCACCTCAGAATGTTCCTGCGTCTGGAGACATGGTATTTAAAGAGGTGCTCAGTTAAGATGAGATGATTAGGATGGCACTAATCCAGTATGGCTGTGTCATTGTTAGAAGTTGGATATACCACACACACACACACACACACACACACACACACACACGCACGCACGCACGCACGCACACACACACGACAACATATGTGAAGACACAAGGAGAAGATGCCATCTGTAGACCAAGGGGGATCTGCCCTGTGCACACCTTGATTTGGGACTTTCAACCTCATAACTGATTTAAGCTGCTCAGTGTGTGGTCCTCTGTCACCACAGCCTGAGGAAACTGACCTGAGTCATCCAGATGATTTCAAGTGTTCCCACAAAGAAACCACTCACACGTCCCTCCCTGGCCACAGTGGACCACACAGGGCACACCGCACACAGTGCTGCCGGACAGTCTGTGAGATGGAACTGCACAGAGGACAGGAGGGTTGGCTCGCTGGAGGATGAATCTGCCACCCTGGGCACCAGGCCTCGATCTGCAGGGCAGTCCTGACACCTGTCGCTCCTGCTTCTTGTCCTTCCAGGACAGGACGTCTCATTTACAGAGCGAGGTCTCCTACCTGGCTATGGTAAGGTGGGACAGACTCTGCAGGGACACATGAGGAAGAGGATCCCAGCCAGGTAAGATCTGGGCTGAACCAGCAGAGGTCACAGCTGTGGGAGCCCAGGGGATGGAGCGGCAATCTGCCTAGAAAGTGGGAGGGTTGACAGAGAGGCAATACCAGGTCAGCGAGGTCATGGAGGAAACAGGCTTGAAAAATAAAGTACACATTCAGTTCACATCCCACAGTGAGGCATCAGAACATAAGCAAAAACTAATAATTTAAGATCTAAAAGTGTTTACACAATGTGCAATAGATGAGAAAGTGTGTGACTGGGAAAGTCTAGTCATCAAGGGGAACTGAGATGTCTTGGCTGGGGCAGGTCGTGAGTGGCAGGGGACAGTAGGGGGTGTGTTCATGAGTCTAGTCAGACAATGCTTCCCTGAGGAAAAAATGGGGCCAGAGGTCCAGGGCCCCTTCTACCACACAGGGCACAAATGGGGGCGCGGTGTGGACTTTCAGCTCCTGATAGCCATTAGCTCTGAGAGGCACTAGCTCCATCTGCTGGATTGGTTGTCGGTGAACTACCTGGCTGCAAAATAGGGTCCTGCAGCTGCTGATGGGTTTTAGAAAGCCTGGGAAAATCAGCAAGTTCCCTGTGGGGATCCAGGTCGACCGTCTGTGTCCTCTGTGCCTCTGCGTGCCTTGGAGGCAAATCACCAGGACTAGCCATCCTGGTGCTGCTGACCTATTGGCTTGTCTGGAACCTTCTGTGTGGGGCCTGGTTGGGGATGCACACTCTGACTTAAGGGAACACAGGGCTCTCTCCAGTCAGTCCCAGTCCATCCAAAGCACCCTTTGATTTATTTATTTTTAAAAATATTTTATTTATTATTTTTTATGTGTGAGTGTATTGCCTGTATGTAAGTGTACCCATGTCGTGCAATGCCTGAAGTCCTCAGAACAGGGTGTCAGATCCCCTGGAACCAGAGTTACAGACAGTTGTTAGTCACCATGTGGGTGCTGGGAACAGAATCTGTGTCCTCTGCAAGAGCAGCCAGTGCTCTAACTGCTGAGCCAACCCTCCAGCTCCAGGCAAAGCACTCTTGGGCCTCACACAGGAGGCCACTGGTTTGTTGGGGTCATCACATGGAGCCTGGGGACTAGTCAGTTCACCGTGCACCTCTATGTTCATCACACTGGTCCACGTCCATCTGCCACCTGCAGCCTTCTCTTCATCCTGTCCCTCTCAAGAGCCAATCCATCCTGTCCCCCTCAGCCCCCGTCTACCCTGTCCCCCTCAGTCATTTGTGCATCCTGTCCCCCTCAATCACCTGTCCATCCTGTCAGCCTCAGTCACCTGTCCATCATGTCCTCCTCAGTCACCTGTCCATCCTGTCCCCCTCAATCACCTGTCCATCCTGTCAGCCTCAGTCACCTGTCCATCCTGTCAGCCTCAGTCACCTGTCCATCCTGTCTCCCTCAGTCACCCCTCAATCACCTGTCCATCCTGTCAGCCTCAGTCACCTGTCCATCATGTCCTCCTCAGTCACCTGTCCATCCTGTCTCCCTCAGTCACCTGTCCATCCTGTCCCCCTCAATCACTTGTCCATCCTGTCAGCCTCAGTCACCTGTCCATCCTGTCTCCCTCAGTCACCTGTCCATCCTGTCTCCCATGTTACCTGGATCTGACTGAATAAGAACATGACCAGGACTCAGAAGCCAAGAGAGGATGTGATCAAGTGACTGAGTTGCTGTCCATCATGTCCTCCTCAGTCACCTGTCCATCCTGTCCCCCTCAATCACCTGTCCATCCTGTCAGCCTCAGTCACCTGTCCATCCTGTCTCCCTCAGTCACCTGTCCATCCTGTCTCCCATGTTACCTGGATCTGACTGAATAAGAACATGACCAGGACTCAGAAGCCAAGAGAGGATGTGATCAAGTGACTGAGTTGAATGCCTGAAAAATACTGATTTCCTAGGGAAACCAACTGATGTGACCCTGATTAACCAGGTTCCTCCTCTCCCCGCCCCTCTTCCTCCTCCTCCTCCTTCTTTGCCCTTTACTCCTCTTCTGGAGAGAAAGTTCTTAGTGGGCTTCAGATAAGCCTCACAGCCTACATAACGCATGCCAGGACCCTGGTTCCCTCCCACTCACACCCCTTCATCACCATACATACTGTTTCCTGGAAAGATACCTCACTAGCTTTCTTCAGGAGCCAAACACATGTTCCCTAGGACTCAAGTGGAAACATGAGGCTGGGAAGTATTTTCCACATAGATGCAAGGAGTTCTCAGGGTCCTGTGAGCTCACACATACCTCCGTGGCACCCTCGGTACAGGGCCTAGGAGAGGAGCACCAGGGACAAGCCACTCCCTGTGTCCCTGGGCTCCAGGACTGGCCTGTGCTCTCAGAGTCCCCTTCTTTACCTGTGTGGGTCCTCACCAACCCTCTCAGGTGAGTCCATGTCCCTTCTCACCTGACCTGCCTTCTCCCTTCTCATTACTAAACAGCCAGTCCCCTTACCATTGGGTCCTCCGACCGCAGTGCTGAGGTCTGGCACAGGCTTTTCCCAGGAGATTCCATTCACCAAGAGACGCTTGGCCCCTGGGAAAGCCGGGCAGAACTGTCACTGACTTTGGTGCCTAAACAAGATCAGAACTGGGTTTCAGGGGCCACCCAGCTCTGCAGAAGGATCTATCCTCTAGAGTCTTAGGATCTGTGGTCAGCGGGGGAAGTAAGAGCATGGAATGGGCAGGCCTGGGTGAAAAAGGGTGGGGGAGAAGCGCCAATCAGGACTGGGTGGTGCTGAGCATGTCCCTCTGGCCTCTCCCACCCTTCGGGCAGTGTCCCTCCCATGTTCAGACCCTGCCTTCCCTCCACCTGGTTGACCATAGAAACAGGGCTGTGCTTGCTAAGGCCTCTTGACTAGTGGTCACTATACTGATTCTATAAGGCTCTTGCTTCACACCAGCCTCAGTCAGTTGGCAAAGGAGAAGACCGAATTAGAAGTACCAGAGTGTGACTGTGCCTCCTTCTCCATTTCTGTTCCCAGCCCTGTGTCTCTGGGCAGGAGAGGAGAGTCTAATGGCTGAGGTGAAGAACAGTGCTCTGAGGCCAGTTAGTCGGTCCTGGCTCTGATCAACCCCACCTCCCTGAGAAGTGAAACCTGCTCCTCTTCCACCAAGAAATGTGGACACGTAAAGCCACACGGCTGCCTTGCACTGCAGTTGTGGTGGAGAGAGTGGTTCTGCAGCGGCTTCTTTTGGTGAGGGGGTGGTGGGGAAATGAGATGCAGATACTCTGCCTCTGTGAAGTCTTGGGATCCCAACACCATCTGCAATCTTGTCCTTACTTTCTCAACTTCTTTTTGACTGGGTTGTGCACCTGTGGTGGTTTGAATACAAATGTCCCCCATAGGCTCCAAGTGTTTGGACATTTTGTCCCCAGATGATGGTACTGTTTTGGGAGGTTTTAGAAGGTGTGGCTATCCTGGAGGAAGCATGTCACTGGGGGTGGGCTTAGGGAGCTCTTAAGCCTTGCCAGACCTTCAGTCACTCTCTTGTTTCCTGTGCCTGTGTGACGATGTGAGAGCTTAGCTTCTGCTGCTCCTGCTCCAGCCACCTCCAGCCACCATGCGTCCCTGTCATGACGGACTGTAATTCCCCTGGAAACGTAACCTCAAATAAACTCTTCCTTCTATAAATTGCCTTGGGTCAGTGTTTCTATCACAGCAAGAGAAAAGTGACTAATACAACACTCCTTCCGTGGTTGTTGGAATGACAGATGTCCCCCAAAGGCTCATGTATTTGAACACTTGGTCCCCAGTAGGTGGTTTTGTCTGGAGATTTTATGAAACTTTGGACATGCTGGAGGCAGTGTATCATGGGGGTGGATTGTGAGGGTTTATAGCCTAGCCCCACTTCCTGTTCACTTTCTCTGCTTCCTGCTTATGAATGGAAATGTGATCAGCCAGCTTCCTGTACAGGCCACCTGCTGTCATGCCTTCCCTGCCATTATGGACACTCCCCCTGAAACAGTGAGCGAAAATCACCTCTTTCTTCCATCAGTGGCTTTTGGTCATAGGATTTATTCACAACAGAAAGTAACTAATACACAGGTTTATAGTTACGTTAGTGGAGGACCAGAGTAAAATGGGGTGATGGCATCTTCTCTGGACCAGAAGTTTCACAATCACACTTTAATGTTTTACCCAGTGGGTCTGTCTTTATCCCAGCCCCCCATTACTATAAACAAAAAGTGGACTGATTTGTCTTTTCTGAGAACATGCAAGTGGCTGTGGATCAGGCACTTTGGGCAGAAGCTTCACTTGGCTTCTTAATGGATATTGTGAATATCAACTTCATGTTTTACTCTGTTGTGGTCTGGGTGCTGTTGAAGAGTTTGGGGCTGCTTCTGTTGAAACTGCTTTTTATTATTTTGATCTGTTTTTCAGGAGGAAGACCACGAGCTCCTTCTACTGTCCTCCCCCCACCCCACCCCCCGCACCTGCTTTTGAGCTCCCTTAAAGGGAGTGTTCGCAGCCTCAGAGGGACATGGACATGAATCATCCTGGAGATGTGTAGACAAGTGCAGACAAGGAGGGGTGTCCCAGAGTGAACATGGAGAGAATGATGGGGGAGGGGTGAGATACAGCCATGGGGCAGCAGAGCTGTGCTCCCTGGAGCACATGCGAAGCTCCGCTAAACAAGGTTCTGCTGGAGCACAGCCGCACAGACTCAACTGTGGACTGCCCATGGTGGTTTCTGTGCTGCACCCGGAGGGCACAGCAGTGCGGACACAAATCGTGTGGGTGGCAAAGCCTGAAATATTTACCCTCCAGACCTTGAGAAAACACAGGCGCTGTGACCCTTAACCTAGAAGGCCACGTTGAAAAGTTTTGCAGTTTCCGTTGGGGGGTGGAGAGCCGAAGAGCCTTCACTGTGGTCAGCTCTGAGGTTTAGAAAGTCCTCTAAATGGAGATGTGGGATTTTAACTGAAGCTGGACATAAAGGAAGCAGGTACTATGAGAGGGCAGGGGTGGATGGCAAAAAGAGAAAGCCAGTGTGGCAAGAAAGGGAAGCTGGAGGTCAGCAACTCCACGTCTTAGGTTCGTGAACAGTGGAAAAGGAGTAGAGAGAACACTAACACATCTCTCAACTCTCCCCAGCAAAGCTTCCTCATGCAGCAGAGTGGGATGTACACAGAAGGCCACAAGTGGCCAAAGTGTAGAGAATAAAAGTCTGCAGAGTGTGTGTCCCTGGATAGGATTCCCATATGAAACCTCACCCACCCAGGGCTCAGGGAACGTAGAAGGGGGGGCGGAAAGATCATCAGAGCCAGTGTTGATGCATGATCATAAGGAAACAATCTTCCAGGCCTCTGGGAACTTGCTTATATGACCCTACAGCAACGGTGACAGCATGTCCAAGACCCATGAAAACTCAATCTGACAAAAACCTAGCATAGAACTCAGGAAATGGGCAGCAGGGCCCAATCCTGGCGGAAGAATTGGTGATTACTGTTGAGCACAGGAGAGCTGATCTTCTTTAAGACAGCAACTCGAGATAGGACGACTAGACTCCGGTGAAAGAACTTGCACTGAGGGACATCTAGATGTGCAAATGTGACTTGACAGGCCTTAACATATATAACAGAATGCATGAAATCCAGTGTGGGAAGGTACTAGGGAGGGGGTGCTGACTTGAGAGGGGATATAAAGATGATTAAGACGTTTTGTATGAAATGCACAAAAATTCAATAAAAATATATAAAGGCCTGGAGCCAAAAAAGAAAAAGTCAGGGAAGAATAGGAAGAGTAGTATAAATATATAAAATATAAAAAAATAATATATAAAGGCCTGGAGCCAAAAAAGAAAAAGTCAGGGAAGAGTAGGCTGGAGGTTTCCCATCAGGGAGTGAGGCTGATGGGGACTGGTAATTGTGAGGACCACACTGGACCAATCAGTGTGCCCACACTCTCCCTACAGCAAGCTTACTGGAGTCGTCCATGTGAGCCTTTATTAACCCTCATGGATACACTGAGACATAGGGAGGCTGACAGTCATTGTACAAAAGAGGAGACCCAGACATGGAGGAGGAAATGTCTGCTGACATCATCCTGTCAGAAAGAACACAGATTTGTCCCAGGTCTCTGATTTCAAACTTGCACACAGTAAGAGTCTCAATTCCAAGAGCCAATTCCAAGAGCTACCTGTGGCGGGAGTGGGGGGTGGGAATGCCGCTCCAAGAAGTCAGCCTTGGAAATCCAGAGAGGAAATGTGTTCCAGACGACAGCGATGCTCCTGACGGCTCCTGCGTGAGTCCAGATCTCTCAGGTGTTCTGTGGAGCCCTCGACCCATGAAAGCTGAGAGAGGCGTAATGTAGTTCCTCCTCAGCCTCCAAGGCAGAGGCCTCCCCTGAAGAGCTTCCGGGCTCAGCAGAGCTGTGTGACTTGGGATCTTGCGGTTGACCCTGCATAGAGAGAAAGAAGAGAGACATGACGCAGGCTGGGGAGGGAGATCCGGGGCAGGCAGAGAGGGTCTGTGAAGTGAAGGCGTTATTCAACGAACTGTTTCTGAAAGCATCACTTAATTGTGCAATATGCATTGCTTTTCTTTGTGGCTTGTAAGACCTACTAAACATACAAGAGACCTGCGTAGAAAATGCTGTTTTACCCACTCTATACATAAGGAATCTAAGCCTGTGTATAAAGAAAGATCTATAGGGAGCTGGAGATAGGACTCAGCAGTTAAGAGCACTGACTGCTCTTGCAGAGGACCCAGGTTTGATTCCCAGCACCCACATGGTGGCTAACAACCATCCGACGCCATCTTCTGACCTCCATAGGCATTGCATGACATGGGTACACTTATATGCAGGCAATACACTCATACATATAACATAAAAATAATAAATAAGCCGGGCATGGAGGTTCACGCCTTTAGTCTCAGCACTTGGGAGGCAGAGGCAGGCGGATCTCTGTGAGTTCAAGGCCAGCCTGGTCTACATAGTGAGTTCCAAGACAGCTGAGGTTACAGGGAGACCCTGTCTCAAAAAGACAAATATATAAATAAATAAATAAATAAATAAATAAATAAATAAATAAATAAATAATAAATAAATAAATCCTTTCTATCCCTAAGCTGTTTTTGGTCATGTTGATTATCACAGCAACAGAAAGCAAACTAGAAAAATCTTTCACAAGATCACCCATGTGCCGATTATGAACTTTACCAGATCTCCCTGAGACACCTTGTGTGCTGAGTCCTGGATCCACAGGAGGCCAGCAATGCAGAGAGACCCTGTGGTTCAGGTCTTAGATGAAGACACGTGATTAAAGAAAGCATTGGCTGCCATGCAAGTGAACTGGCAAATGGCAGAACAGTACGGTCCTCTGACCTACCTTCTCTTCACGGGTCTCCACATGATGAGGACACCATGAGAGAGCCATTACCACAAGGCATGAGGTGCCATCACAGACAGGTGTACAGGGCTTCCTGGAGATGCCACAGGAGACAGCCAATGGTTACAGAGTGTGACCGTTAACTGCCGTTGGCCCATTTCCCAGCCCTGACTTGCTGCAACGTTTCTCAAAAGTGCCCCTGTCACTCAGAGAGTCCATCTCCTCTCCTGTCCTCTCTACAACTCTCATCAATCCAGAGGGATTTCTTCCCTCCAGGCTCCTAGACCTCTTGCTGGTGTCAAGATCAGCGTGATCCACTCAGTTAAATCCAGTGTTGTTCCCACCCTGGCCATCTGCACCTGTCAGCACCAGAGACAGACGTCCAGTCCCCTCCTTGACACTCATCACCCGTGGCCACAGGACTCAGCACCTCCTCCCAGGTGCTCTGCTCAGTGGCGGGTCCTCCCTCTTCCCTCTCATTTCCATGCCTGTGTTTTGTCAGATCTCCAAACTGTGTCCTGTGTGGACCCTCCCCTGACTGCACACTCTGACATCTATTCATCTCCACTTGAGCTCCAGAGGCTCCTCATCTTTGTAGGAACTGGAGTGATGTTGACCCTCGTGAATGTTGGCAATTCAGATAAGTTACTTGAACTGACCACAGAGCTATCACCCCTGAAATCTATGACCATCTGTGGCATCTATGGAGGTCTATAGAGTCACCTTTGGTGTCTCTGACATTCTGAGCTAGAGAAACTGAGCTGTCTTGGATTGTGCGTAGGCAGGCATTCCCCTGCTGACTCTTTATTCAAGATGTCTCCAAATGCCCCACCCAGATCCATCACTGAGCTCCTGGACTGTGTTAGACCCTCCACTCTTTGTTTACATTTTCCTTTGCTTGTGCAATTTCTCACTATGTCCTAGATGCACTCTCTCTGCCTCTGTCTCATGAACTCTGAGATTACAAGCTGTATTCAGAAGCAGCACAGATTCTTCCAAGTATATTTTGGAGGAAGGAGGGTTGGAGCATGAGGGTACAGAGGGTCTGGGTCCTGACTGGTCTGTCGGGGTAATAACACTACCAGCAAGGAGATCCAGGAAGAGAAGCATGCTCAGGGACGTGCTGACCATGTTCAGGGATGTGCTGACCGTGTTCAGGGATGCTCTGACCATGTCTGTAATGTTATGGTCAGGATTTTCCTTAAAATAACATTCTTATTAGTTCTTTGAGAATGTATTTTGATCATAACATCTTTAGCTATCAGGGAAATGCAAATTAAAACTACTTTAAATTTCATCTTACCCCAATCAGAATGGCTAAGTTAAAAAAATGACTACAAATATTGGTGATGATGTGGGAAAGCACTCACTGCTGGTGGAGTGCACACTGGTGCGGTCACTTTGGAAATCAGTATGGAGGTTCCTCAAAAAGTTATAAACAGATCTGCCACATAATCCAGCTATACTGTGCTGGTTAGTTTTTGTCACCGGAAAAAGGAACCTCAATTGAGGAATTTCCTTTATTGGAATTGTCTGTGGGCATGTTTGCAGGGCATTTTCGTAATTGCTAATTGATGTAGGAGGGCCCAGCCCACTGTGGACAGTGCCATCACTGAGCAGATGGGCCTGGGCTGTGTAAGAAAGCCAGGGGGAACAAGCCAATAAACAGCACTCCTCCACAGTCTCTGCTTCAGTTCCTGTCTCCAGCTTCCTGTTCCTGCCTCCACTTCCTGCTTTGACTTCCCTTAGTGATAGACTGTGACCTTGGGGCTATAAAATGTAATAAACCCTCTTGTCCCCAAGTTGTTTGAGAGGAGTGTTTTATTACAGCATCAGAAAGCATGCTAGAACAACTACTCTTGGGTATGTACCCAAATGATTCTATCCTACTACAGAGATACCTGTTCATCCAACCAAGAAATGAAAACAGCCTAGATGTTTATTGGCTGATGAATGGATAATGAAAATATGGTGCATTTATACAATACAATAGTGTTCAGCTGTTAAAAAAATGAAATTTGCAGGTAAATGGATGGATCTGGAAATAATCATCCTGAGTGAGGTAACCCAGACCCAGAAAGACAAGCATTGGGTGTTTCCCTTCATATGTGGATACTAGCTCTGAAACTTTAGATATGTGTGTTTTGCTTGAAGTGAGGAAGCTAGTAAGGGAGACATGGGGGTGGTAGGAGATAGAATGCAGTGACCCAGGTTCTTGATGACCACAGAGATGCTCCTCTTAGGGAAAGACAGTGTCTAGAGAAAGCTTGAAGGGTGAGTTTGCATGTGTACTTTTCCTGTGCAAACGACTACTTCAGTGTCCAACCCAACCTCATCCTCTATAGAACTCTTACAACATGGGACTCTGTCCTGTTTAACCACCCCAGGTCCAGGTAGCAAGTGAGTAGAGACAGCCTTAAACACTAGAACCAGCGGCAGTCATTCAGAGTGGCTGTCCTAATAAAACTGAGTCTCTCTCTCTCTCTCTCTCTCTCTCTCTCTCTCTCTCTCTCGGGCTAGTGATAAGCTCAGATCTGGACCTACTGATGGGCACCTCTGGACCACCCCAGGGAGGTGTGTGAAGGATGGACGGGGTCCCAAGGGAGCCTTATAACTCACCTGGGAAACTGGCACTGTGGCAGAGTGGGCAGGGTTCACCCCCGCTGCAGTCCTGGACGCTTTCTTCCTCTGGGTCTTCACTCTGGTGGGAGACATGAGGGTATTGCAGCCTGGATTGCTTGGACTGAGAAAGAGCAGGCCCTTCACTGATTCTGGAAGAGGTGGCTATGCAAAGTATAGAGGACACTTAGCCAGCTCCCTTCCCAAATGGATTGCAACAAGGAACCCTCCTCACCCACCTTCTCCTTGCTAGAGGCAGGCCTGTATTTGCTTGTCTAGTGACTGCAGCCTGGGTTCTCCACTCCCTATAGTCTGTGTCCAGATCATAAGTCTTTACAACCTTCCTCATCCACGTAACTCCATGTCCCCCATCCTGTCCCACCCCTGACCCAGTCCTGAGGCTCACATGAAGAAGATGAGGCAGAGACTGATGGCAAGCAGCGCTGTGACACCAGCGCCCCCGGTGGCCCCCAGAACCACTCCTGATGTTGCCGTCGTCCCCGGATTCCCAGCTGAGGAAGGAGACATGGCTGAGTTCCAACCTTGGTAGGCAAGCCTGCACCCTCCTCTCTAGCACCTCCAGGGGCCTCACCTCTGAAGTGGGATTCCTCTCTAACTCCTACCTCACCACAGGACCCCAGCTTTGTCTAGAAGCTGTGATGCAGTACACTATTGACCTGTCCCCTCTCTTCCACACTAGACCTCTGTCCAGAAGACCGCTCCTCCAACCATGACCTCTCCCAAGGCCCATGCTGCTCTTTACGCGGAGTCCCTACAGCAGATCTCAGAGCTAGACAGTGTAGGGCTGGGAAGCCTGAGCTCCAAGACCATTGCACTAGGGACACTAACAGAGCACATGGGTCAGCAGAGTTGGGTCTTGTCTTCCCATGGAGTGTGCCTGTGTGTCCTCTGACCTGTCACTCAGGGTCACTGTGGACCTTTGTGCCAGCAAAAGGGGCTGGGAACGGGGGCAGGAAGCTGTTCATCAGCTTCTGAGGCAAACCCAGAGAGCCCTCAGGGTCCTGCCTGGCCATGCCTCCCAGGATCTCAGCACCCTCATTGAGGGCTATGTCTCAGTGGCCGGGAGACCTGTCCATTCCCTGGCAGGCTCTCTGCCCAGCAGGGACCAGACATCATTAACAACGGGGAAGGACGGGGTGGGAACATTTCTTCATTAGACAGATGTCAGGGTTAAGGGATGGGACGTAGGTGGTGGGAAGGAATGTCCCAAAGAGACATCTGTGGCTGCGTCAGTGTTCTGTGTGACACTTTGATGGTGGACCACATCACATGGCTGTCAAACCATGGGACATACAACACAGGGATGAACCCCAACGTGGCCTGTGGAATCCAGGTGCCAGACGTATCTCTGAAGGTTCATCCTTTGTGACAGTGGACCATCTGGTGGGGGGACTCACAGTGCCGAGGCTGTGCATGTGTGAGGGCAGCAGGGAGACCTGACTCTCAGACGTCATCTGACCCTCACATGCATGTTGTGGCATGTGTACGTGTGCACATGCATGTATGGATGTTCACACACATAAATGACATAAAGTAATGAAGTCATTTAAAATGTCCCAAGATACTCAGCGACTGGAGGGAAGACACAGCCACACAGATGGATGGGGAGGAAGCTGCTGATCCCTCATGAATGTCTCCACCAAGTGTCAGAGAGCCTGGGAGGAGCCCCCACGGGATGCTCAGGATGAACCCCCCACATCTGAGTCTGAAAACCCAGGTCTGAGGGGAGCTGGCACGGACAAGACCCCAGCAACAGCTCCATGAGTGAGGTGCCCTGCTGGGTCAGGTCCTGGGAAACGCTGAGTGAGGGAGCTCTGCAGGAGATGGATGGGGTGGGGGGGCTCCCTCTTCACTTGGCGTGAGATGAGGCAAGGCAGCACTCTGACACTAGCCCAGCAATCAGACTCACAGAGGGACAGGTCCTGTGTCCTCCTGTGTCCCCTTCCCAGCCAGGTCACCAGCACTCAGCCGGGTCTCCAGCCCCACCTCCCTGTCCCCTTCACACCCTCAGGGTCACAGTGTCCTGTCTGTACTCACTGGTGACATTGAGCTGGACTGCCATTTCCACAGTCACACCTGCTCCAGGAAAGGTCACCTGACAGGTGAGGTTGGTGCCATGGTCCTGGGGCCGCGCTGTGAGGGTCAGCACGGAGGAGAGTGTGGTCCTGGGGCCCAGGGAGGTGAGGGCGGCTGACATCCAGGAGAAGATCGGGGGTGTTCCCCGCTCACAGGCCCACGGCACAGAGCAGGTCAGGTTGATGGGATGACCGGGCTCCAGGGTAGATGGGATATTGATGTGGGGGGTGTGGGTGAGGGCTGGTGAGGAGAGGGGGCCATGCGGGATCAGGAGAGGGTGAAGTACAGCTGTGGGGAGAGCCCAGCCTCGGGTCCAGCTCCTCGCTTGAGCCCCGATGCTGCACTTCCCCCCCACTCCCCTTAGGGTCCCATCCCAACACAGCCCTGTGGTATCCAGAACCTTCCACTGTCTCTGGAACCCATGGCTTACCGGTCACCTGCACAGACACTGGCTTCCCACAGTAATTCCATTTTATGTCTCCTTTCTCCAATCGGAAGAAGTAGGAGCCGTTGTCTCCTCTCTGTGCATCTCTGATGTCCAGGGAGCAGTTGTTGTTCTTCAAGTTCCCGAGAATGTGGAATCGGCCCTGGGTCTCCTTCTGCAGTGCTCGCTCTGGGTTGTTTGTGGCCACAGGAGAGTCAAGGTTTGTTTTTGCCCTTGCATGGAACCAGTAGCCAAAGACGGAACTACTCCGGGAGGCCCAAGGTAACTTGACCAATTTGCAGACCACAAGGACACACAGCCCCTCCTGCACTGCCACAGACGCCTCCACTTCCAGCTTGTAGCTCCGATCATTATCTTGGCACCCTGAGGTGGAAGGACTGTAGGATCCAGGCGCCCAGGCACCCACCCAGGGCAGGGCCAGCAGCAGCATCCACATTATCATGTGGTGACACGGGGCTCATGGGCTTCCTGTGAGTGAGCAGAGACTGGTATGTCCAGGGTGAACTCTGTGAGGAGGAGCCAGAGACCTCAGTGGTTCACAGAAGAGGAACCTCAGAGCCGCAGGCACCAGGAGGCCTCCGCAAAGCATGCAAAAAAAAAAAAAAAAAAAAAAAAAAACAGGGGGGCCCATGGCCAGTAGCAGCAGGGCAGAGAGAGTCCTGCCCCCTCTTCCACGTTTCCCTCCAACCCAGGGCTCCACCTGGACCAGGGTCACATCTAAGCTCTTCCCACCTTGGGGTGATGCTTGGTGCATCTAAACCTTGCCCTTACAGAAGTTACTCAAGTTCTTGACCACGGTCAAACATCTCCACCCCTGGGTTTTTTGGTTTTGTTTGGTTTTGGGTTTTTTTTTTAGGTCATTAATGATTTATTGATCAGGTCTTATAAAATGTGTTTAATTAGGGACTGGAGTGATGGCTCAATGGTTAAGAGCACTGGCTTAGTTAAGAGCACTCACAGAAGACCTGGGTTCAGTTCCCAGCACCCACAAGGTGGCCCACAGCCATCTGTAACTCCAGTTCCAACAACCTCCACTGGCCTCTGTGGGTTTGCACACATGTGGTACACTTCCATACATGCAGATGAAATACTCAAACACATAAAATAAAAACGATAAATGAATTTCTTAAAATGTGTTTAAGTAATGATAATTCAACAGCAAGTAAGAACTTAAAAACCGAATTTGTCATTCATGAAACGTGTTTGCCAGGCATGGTGGACAGGCCTTTAATTCCAACATTCTGAAGGATGCTCCCGTGTGCAGAACCTCAGCCGTACAGTCCTCTCTCGGGATGCCAGTACCAGGAGCTGGCACCTGCCCTAGAGACATAGCTGGTATATCTGCAAAGCATGAGTTTGGAATTCTTTCCCTTGCCTCTGAAACACTGATTCTTCACATGTCAAACACAGCTCTTGAATGGACCATGCGGCATCCTCGTGAGATGCTGGGGTGTGAGGACAGCTTGATGTCTGCGTCCTCACCATGCACGTGAGCGGTTCCTGTCTCAAATCTGCATCTCCCACTTGGAAGTGCCTCTGTGGGCATCGTACCATCAGACAGCACGAGTGGATTGTACAGGAAGAAGGAAACGTTTGGCCCAGCCCACATGGTTTTCCACATCATCATAGCACTTGATGTTACTGTGATTTTAAAACTCCGCTTTTTACATTTTAGCCATTCTAATTGGTATGTGCTGGTGTCTCATTCTGGCTTTAACCTGTGATTTCACAACAGACCATGTCGCGGGACCTGTTTTCATATATGCAATCACTGCTCATGCTTTCCTTCTCTGTGGAAATTGGGAGTTACTATTTGGATGCATTTGGGGGTGCTCTTATGAAAATGGTCATAAAACCCACAATTTTAATCACTGTGATTTTGCTGGACAGCTTCAGTTGTCAACTTGACCCACCAGGGACGAGGAAATCCCAACTGAGGTATTTCTTTCGTCGGATTGGTCTGTGGCCATGTTTGTGAGGAATTTTCTTTTTTAGGAAATATTTATCCATTTGTGTGTGTGTGTGTGTGTCTGCATTTATATAAGTTCCCTATGTGCACACCTGGTGTCCACAGAGGTGAGAAGAGGGTGGAGCTGGAGTTACAGGTGTTTGTTCACTGCCATGTGGGTGGCTGGGGACCAAACCTTGATCTTCTGCAAAACCAGCCAGTGCTCTTAATCACGGAGCCATCTCTCCAGTCCTACAAGGCATTTTCTTAACTGCTAATTGAGTGGGAGGCGCCGGCCCACAGTGGGTGGTGCCACTCCTGGGCAGGTGGTCCTAAGAAGGCAGACTGAGCACAGGCCAGTGGAGCAAGCCAGTGAGCAGAGTTCCTCCATGGTCTCTGCTTCAGCTCCTGCCTCCAGGCTCCTGCTATGAATTCCTGCCTTAATAATGGGATGTGAGTTGTAAGCCAAATAAACCCTTTCCTCCCCAAGTTGGTTTTGGTCAGTGTTTTATCACAGCAACAGAAAGTCACTAGGACAATGATGGACAGATGAGCAGCATTAAGGACACCCCTCTGTTGAGCCACCAGCAGCATTAAGGACACCCCTCTGTCGTGCCACCATCACCACCATCTGCCTGTAGAACATCTTCTGTCTCCCCATGACAGAGCTCTGTGCCCATTAAAAGACTTCTTCCTGCCTTCCCTTAGTCTATGACTCTGCCTGTCACAGATCCCTCGTGTGAGTGGAATCACACAGTATGTGTCCTTTTGTGACATCTTTCTCTCACTCAGCACGGTGTACTCCAGGTTCATCCATGCTCTGGCGTGTTTCTGTGTATGGACCGGAGCAGCATCTGTGATGGACACTCTGTCTGCTTCTCCCCTTCGCTGTTATAAATACTGCTGATGTGACCACGGAGGCAGAAAAGTTGGCTCAGTCCCTGATCCCGGCTCTTCAGGGCATCTGCTGAGAGCTGAAGAGTAGATCATGTGCTCGTTCTAGTTCTTAACTTCTGAGGAACCACAGTAGATTCCTGTCCAGCCGCATCCTCCCACCTTCTCAGAAGCAGTGTGCAAGAGTTCCCGTTCCGCTGCTGTGGCCAACGGCTGCCCTTTCCTACTTCTTCAGTAACTGCTGTAGCTGTGGAAGCCGGCCTCTCACGGTGCTGTACTGCATGTGGTAAGCGTGCACAACACGACGTTGGCCTATCTTGGCTCTCATGACCAGTGCTGAGAATTTCTTCCTGTCTTTATTGGTCATTTGTGTAAGTTCTTGAAAATGGCTACCTGAGTCATTTTCCCATAGTCACAGGCAGTTTTTTTCTTTTCTCATTATTTCACACACGTGTTTCCTCAGCATTAAGTGAGTTGACACTTACCCAGTTAACTGTTTGCTTCACGGTTCTGATTTTCCAGGTAGGGAGTCTAAATGTTAATGTTCATCCTCTCTTAGCTTGCTGAGTTCAAAGTGTGGGAAATCATCTCACAAAACTGAACAGTGTGGGGACCCGACTCATCATATGCTAACTGGGATTGCAGAGTTGCTGGATCTTAGTTTCTATATCAACATAATGAAGTAAAAATAGAAGTTGAGATTCTGATTATTAAAAAACACATTTAGGGATTGGAGAGCTGGCCCAGCAGTTAAGAGAACTGGGGGCTCTTGCAGGCGACCAAGGTTCGGTTTCTGGCACCCGCATGGCAGATAACAACAGTCCTTAACTCCAGTTTCAGAGGAACTGACGCCCTCTTCTGACCTCTGTGGGCACTGCACACCATGGGTGCACTTACATACATATAGGCACTCATACACATAAAATAAAAATAACAAAAATAAAATATTTTTTAAAGCCATATTTAATTATTAACCATGTATACCATTACTTTTTTACATGCATTTTAATCCCACTTTGAATATCATTAATATATTTATGCTTGTTTCCTAAGACCTTTAATGATCAGTCTTTACTGATTTTAGCTTATTAGATACCACAAATAATAAACCCACTGCTGTTATTGTCCTATGTGGACATGTTGACACACTGCCTTCTAAGTGTGGAAGTTTGCAACTATAGATCTGTGCTGCTGTCAGCCTTGGTCAGAAAAGCTTCTTTTTGAAGTGGGTCCTGGTTCTTGCAGAGACTCACAGCTGGTCAAAGTGTTGAGAATCAGTGGCTGTGGCGTGCTCAGCCCTAAATGGAACGTCTATATCATCCCTCCGAAGACTCACGAACACCACAGGAGACACAAAGGACATAGGAGCAGGAGGGTGGGGAGGGGTGTGGTGAAGGGCCGTCTCCTGGACGTGGCATGACTGTTGCACTCATGAACTCACAGAACACATGAACTGCACAAGACAGAGCCTGTCAACATTCCATTATGGGTGGGAAAGCGCTCATGAGGTCCAGCCCTAGCTGAGGTGGTGGCTGCTGGGGGCAGGGGTTCATTTTCTTCAGGGTTTAGCCACTGAGAAGATGCCTGTGCTCCAGTAAACAACCCTACAGTCATGCTCGTAATAGCAACTCATATCAATCTTAATGAGTCATTTAAAAACACACAAGGGCCTGGAGAGATGGCTCAGCAGTTAAGAGCACTGGCTGCTCTTGCAGAGGATCTGGGTTTGGTTCCCAGCACCCAAACAGCGGCTAACAACCACCTGTAACACCACTTCCAGGGGATCCAATGCTTCTTCTCTTCTGGCACCCATGAGCACTGCATATGTAATGCACATATAGACATGCAGGCAAGCACTCACACATATGAAACAAACAAAAAACTTCAAAAAGATAAATAGGCAAATAAGATTGCATCAAAAATTAGACTTCTGCTGTCTTACTGGTTCTTCAGCTGCCCAGCTAACAAAGGCAGGAGGATCACACATTCAAGATCAGGCTGGGCTATAGAGCAACTTCAACTTGGGCCACATAGAAGGCCTTGATTCAAAATAAAAATTACAGAGGGATGTGCCTGGAGAGATGACTCAGCAGTTAAGAGCACCAGCAGCTCTTGCTGACGACATAGATTCCATTCCCAGCACCCACACAGCAGCTATCAACCGTCCATAACTCCAGTTCAGGGAAATCCAACACCCTCTTCTGTCCTCCAAGGACATTGCACAACATGGGTGCACATACACACATGCAGGCAATACAGTCATATACATAAAATCAAAATAATAAACTATTGATTAAAAATTAAAGAGGACTGGGTGGGGGTGGGGAGGTGTGGCTCAGTAGAGTGCTTACCTACTGTGTTTGGAGTCCTGTATTCATTATTCATATCCCCATCCTGAGGACGGGGGAGATGGTTCAATGGTTACGAGCACTTGTTAGTCCTACAGAGGACCCAAGTTTAATTTCCAGCACCCATGTTGGGCCACTCATAACTGCCTGTAACTCCAATTCCAGAAGATCAGATGCCTCCTTCTGGTTCTCATGGGCATTGTACTCACATGCACATATACAGGGGCACACAAAACTAAAAATAAAATCCTTTAAAGAAACAAACACAAGTACATGCAGAGATTGTGAATATATATATACATATGTGTATACGTATATTCACAATCTCTGTGAGTTCATATGTGCAGCTTCTCTGCAATGAATGAAAAACACAGATTCTTTCTTGTGATCCTCTGGAGGTAAAAAAGGCAGGAAATCTTGCCATTTGCAACAACACAGATGAATCTGAGGGACAGTTATACAAATCGGGCATAGAGACACGAGGTCCGCATTTTACAACATTTTACTTGCAATCTGAAAAATTCAAACATCTTTGAACAACAGTGACCACGTGGTGGATGGTCCTGGGACTGAGGGAAGAGTGACATTCAGGGAAACTGCAAATGACAGGTTCGGAGCAGGAGCAACATCTGGAGACGTGCCAAACCTCAGGGTGGTCACAGTTTCACTGTGCATTTCAAAACTGCTTATTGTGACAGCGTGCACAGGGATCCTGTTAAAGTGAAACTCTAGGGGCTGGAGAGATGGCTCAGTAATTAAAAGCACTGGCTGCTCTTACAGAGGACCGATATCCGGTTAGCACCCACATGGTGGCTAACAACCATCTGTAACTCAAGTTTCAGGGGATCTGATGCCCTCTTCAGACCTCCAAGGGCATTGCATAACACAGGTGCACTTACATATATGCAGGCATAGCACTCAAATACATAAAATAAAATTAAAAAATAATAAATTGTTTCTCAAAAAGTGAAACTCCAGTCAAGGCTCTGCTCCCCTCAAAGGCTCTGGGGTCTGATCACGCCCTGTGGGTCAGGGTCTTACCTGGGATCCCTCTGGTTCCCTCTGCTCGGATCACAGTCCCTTTCTGTGATACCACACTCTAGGCCAGCTTCTGCCTCTGAGCCACTCACTGTGCACACACTGTTCCCTGTCCCAGTCCTTGGGATACTTTCTTCCTACAGACACAGAGCCCACCTCCTCCACCCCTGGAGCATTCCAGGCATCACCCAGATGTGAGCTCCTCTCCTGCATCACCTGTCCACACACATCTCCATCTGACATGTCCTGATTCACTGCTCTTTTACTTCTGCCTTTGTCTTTGTGCCAGTGGCTCCTTGAATACAGAGCTTGGAGTGCTGAGTCCCGAGGCTTCCCTGGCGCCCATGAAAAGAGGCCCTGTTGGAGTTCAGATTATTCACTCGTGTGGTCCACACATAGTGGATGATGTCACTCAAGCACATCATCCTGAGGGCATCACACACACGTGCACAACCTAAGTGATGTGCAGCTGGAGGCTGAGGTGGTCAAGACAGGGACAGGCAGGAGAGGTCAGGGAAGGGTGTTCAGGAGTGGAAACTGCACAAGCAGAGTCTCAGGTACCGAGGAGGGATGTAATGCAGCTAATGGAGGACTCTGGGAGGAGAGTCCAGCAGGATGCAGACCATGCAAGGCCCCCAGTGTTTGCCCCTCTCCATCCATGGCAAGGGCACAGGACTACTCAGACTGCGGAGGAAGTGGGTGATGATTGTTGGTGCTGGGGAGACATGGGGACAGGAGGTCAGGGAGCATTCACTGATTAAGGAGACATGAGGAACAGGGATGACCGGGGTCAGGGTGCAGAAAGGGGTCAAGATGGGCTGTGGTGAGGATGGAGAGAGACCAGGGAGTGGTTCCTGGGGTAAAGGTGGAGAGAAGTCAGGGTGGAGACCCACACCTGCCTCTGGATAGAGAAGTGGCCACTGAGCCAGGAGCATCATGGGACCAGCAGGGATGCAGGCACAGGATGGGGGTGGGCAGCTCACCTGGCGCCATGCTGAGTCGTGTCATCCTGTGGCATTATGGGGAGGGGTCCAAAAGGAAGGGGGAGGGATGCAGGACCTCGGCTTCACTCACCTGAGAGACTAATCAGTGACAGGGTCTGCAAAGTCCCTGCGTGCTGCTGGCCTTCCTGTCGTTTTCCCGTGAGACCTCACTCTGAGTGAAGAGACCTGGGGCCTCTCAGAGGGCAGTCTGCGGCAGCCACCGCCCCCCGCACCCCGTGCTCTCAAAGGCTGGATGAGCGACTGAGGGAGAGAGATACCCTGCCCCTAAGACCTCCTTGTTGAGACCAACTTCATCCCACAGGAGTGACAACTGGGGACAGACAGCGTCTGAGTCTTGTTCTCACCACCTAAAGCCCCTGCCTGGGTCCTGCTACCCCAGACCCTTCCCTGTCCCCAGCACTGGGACTCTGGTGTTGAGCCCTCCCCACACCTGTTCCTGCCTCGTGGGCAGCACTCACCTGAGGATGATGAGGCAGAGCCCGAGAAGCAGAACCTTGACAGCCGCCTCCCCGACAGCCACCAGGACCACATCTGCCGTCCGCCCTGATTTCCCTGCAGAAACACGGCCGAGGCTGGAATCAGCTGCTACCCACACCGAGTCCTTTCCTGCACATACCCCACTCCACACCCTGACCTGCCCCCAATCATTATTCAGTAATTCATGTCCTGACCTTGACCCCTTCCTCCCTTTCTTAATGACCTCTCTCCATCAGAGTCACAATATCCCAGCCCAGCCTCACATGACACATTGAGATGGACGGTCCTTTCTGTGCTCACATCAGCCCCAGGCAGGGTCACCTGACAAGTCAGGTTGGTGCCATGGTCCTGGGGCTGCAGGATGAGGGTCAGCACAGAGGAGGAGTCAATGGTCTTGGGGGTCAAGGGTGACACAGAGGTCCCAGTCCAGGAGAAGGTGGGGGGTGTCCCCCTTGCACAGGCCCAGGGTGCAGAACAGGTCAGGTTGCTGGGAAGGCCAGCCTTCAGGGTCTCTGGCATGAGGATGTGGGGGGTGTTGGTGAGAGCTGGTGAGGAGAAGTGAACACACAGGATCAGGAGGGTGAGGTGCGACTGTGGGGGAATCCCAGGCTCTGATCCAGTTCCTCCCATGTCCTGATGTTTCAGCCCCAGCTGCTCCAAGGACGGGTCCCATCCCAGCCCCGCCCTGTGTCACTCATGACCTTCCCCTGTGGCCACTCTGCAGCCAATGACTTACCTGCCACACGCACAGTCAGCTTGTTCCCAATATAATTATACTTTGTCTGTCCTCTCTCCAGTCGAAAGAAGTACAATCCTGCGTCCGTCTTCCTGACATCTCTGATGTCCAGGGAGCAGTTGTTCTTCTTCGGGTCCCCGAGCAGGAAGAATCGGCCCTGGGTCTCCCCCTGTACTGGTTTCTGTGGGTTGTTTGTGGCCACTGGACGGTCTCGGTCTGTTCTGGCCCCTTCCGGAAACCAATACCCATGAACGTGGTCTGAGCCAGTCCAGTGCTCCTTTTTGTAGGAGAACTCACAGGGCACAAGGACACACAAGCCCTCCTGCACAGTCACCTCCCTTGTCACCTCTAGGCTGAAACCCTCCAGGGTGTCCTTCCCACCCTCTGTCCCCTTCATCCCCCAGAGCAGCAGCGACAACAGCAGCATGTCTGGCTGCAGCTGCAGGGCCACCAGGGGAAGTTGGTGGCTCTGGGCTCTTCTCTGAGGAACTAAGAAATGCAGGACATGGAGGAGCCCACAGGAAGCAGGGCGAGGGCAGGGCAGTGGCCGCCTCACGGGAGGAGCTTCCCACCCAGGCCCTGTCCAGGCTGTCAGCCCTCGAAGATGAGTGGCCTCCTACCGAGCTCCATTCCTGGGAACCCTGAAGCCCTCAGGGAACCTCTCCCAAATGCCCGCAGGAAGGGCCCCTCTCCCTCCCTCCCCGGCACAATCCTTCCCCTTAGGTGGCATCTTGGCAGTGACGATGGGGTCCCTCTGACCACACTCCAGAGCTGCTTGGGACTGCGGACGTGGTGGGGGGTGGAGAGCACTGTGAGCCTCCATTGAGGAAGCCGGGGCTGTCTATAGACAGAACTGCGGAGAACACAGGGCAGGAGAAGCCGCAGGATGCACAGGCTGGAAACGGCCCCCACAGCAGCTAACCGAGCATGCTGGGAACCAAGTCCTGCAACTTTGGGGGGAAATACTTTCCAGCGGTGTAGGTGGCGGCTGTGGAGGAAGGAATGGGCATCCTGAGACACATGGGTCAGCAGCCTGTGGGTCTGTGGGTCTCTACTTGCTTTTAGTGCTGCTCAGGATTTTGTAGACTGAATCTGGATGTCTGAAATCTGTCACCGAGATTTTATCTACAATTGTTATACATTCATAGATCAATTTGTGGATAATTTGGTCCCTTGATTATATTGTTTTCCAATCCGTGAACATGGTATGTGCATCAATAGCAGAGAATAAAATGGATATTAATTTCCTTAAATTTCATCTGCTCTCTCTTCTGCCGAAACAGAGGAGGCTGTCAGATCGCTTAGATCCGGAGTTACAGAGTTGCCCAAAATGACTGCTGGACCCAAACTCGGGTCCTTTCAAGAGCAGCAATCACTTTGAAACTGCTGAGCCATCTCTCAAGCCCCAACACTCTCATGATTGAATGTGGTTGTCATCCAAGCCTGGAACAGGGAGACAAACTTACAGCTTGGGCTTACAGAGCAATGGTGAGGGTTTCCTTACAGGAGGGCGGGTGCTCCCCGTGGAAGGCTGCACAGGAAAGTCTCCATCCAAGCATGGATGGTGACGTCCCCACAGCCTCATAAAATTGTGAGAGAGCCTCCGCTAGGCTTCCTCAGCCTTCTACCCTTAGCCCCTCCCCATCATGCAACTAGGGCTGACTGATTGGTTGCTAGGGTCCCATGACTCTCCCTGAAATTTAGCTGTGATGATCCTAGGCAAAAGGGCACAATGAAGCGTGGGAGGATGGCGTCTGTCCATGGTCTGTCTGAAGTCAATCTGTCAGAGGACAACCCTACGCAACACTATCTGTAAGTCCAGCTCTGGAGGAGCCCACACCCTCTTCTGGCCTCCGTGGGCACAGCACTTGTCTTCAGGCAAAGCACTCATACATCAAACAGAAATAAATCAATTTTTAAATTTTTATTTATTATTTTTATTTTATGTGTATGCGTGTATTGCCTGCATGTAGGTAAGTGCACCCGTGCCATGCAGTGCCCACGGGGGTCAGAAGAGGCTTTTGGATCCCGTGGAACTGGAGTTACAGACAGTTGTTAGCTGTCATGTGAGTGCTGGGATTCAAACCCAGGTCCTCTGCAAGAGCAACCAGTGCTCTTAACTGCTGAGCCATCTCTCCATCCCCGAGACAAGGGCTCCCTGTAGCCCCAGCTGTCCTGGAACTCGATATGTAGACCAGGCTGGCCTTGAACTCACAGAGATCCGCCTGCCTCTGCCTCCCAAGTGCTGGAATTAAAGGTGTGCGCCACCACGCCCGGCTACAATCAGTGTTCTTAACCGCTGAACCATCTCTCCAGCCCCATAAATCAAATTTTTTAGGTGTTTATGATTTTCTTTAGGATTTTCTTTGTTCAGTTACTATAAAAATTTCATGAAACTCTCACAATGTCAGAATACGAAATTTAGGGTAAACGAAATCTGTGTTCATGGGCCACGGACACTCATATTTCGCTGCAGAATAAACTTTCCTTTCCTTCAACGTGAGAGCTGTTTGGGGGTTTTGTTTGTTTTTTACATCATCAGTTATGGTTCCTTCAACACGGCGTCCTAAGGACAATACACTTTTCACTGGAAGGGTCACCTGGGTCAGCACCAGGCACTATCATGGGCCACTTGTGCCTGACTGTCTGGAACTGCCTACTCGGGTGAGTTCATTTGGGGTCTCAGACCTCTCTTGATTTGTGGGTGGCCAGTTGTTTCTTCTGAGCTGGTCATTTAGGAGTCTACGGGACACCTTCTGAGTTTGCTTTTAGATCATTTGGTTTAAGGCATCCATTTTGTTTGCTTGGAAAGGATGTTGGTTTCTGACTGTTTGGTTTGTTTTCTGTCTTTGCTTCACGCATCAGAAAACCTTTTGGTTCTGAGCACTCAGGTTGTTAATTTGTTATGTCAGTTGAAGGAACGGAAGGAAGGAGGAAGAAGAATGAGAACAGAATCTAACTAAAGGTAACGGCTTTCCATTTCCCTCGGGGAATGTTCAGTATCTCTAAAACTGATTTTGTTCTGTGTGCTTACATGTAAGTTATAGGAAATAAAATGATTTTTAACCATAAATGGGAAGCCTGCCTTAATCGCATTTTGAAAACTTGAAAATAATAAAGTTGGTAATTTACAAAATAATAACTGTTCTAGAAACTACACCCATGTTAAAATGAGATGTTTAAATGAATAGGAAACTAAAATGTTAGAGATTGTGCCAGATTTTTAAAAAATATTTTATTTATTATTTTTATTTTATGTGTATGTGTGCGTGTATGTAAGTATACCCATGTTGTGCAATGTCCACTAAGGTCAGAAGAGGGCATCGGATCCCCTGGAACTGGAGCTAAGACAGTTGTTAGCTGCCATATGGGCGCTGGGATTCAAACCTAGGTTTTCTGCAAGAACATTTTTTTAATTATAAGAGCTATAACTAGGGGCTGGAGAGATGGCTCAGTGGTTAAGAGCACTGGCTGCTCTTGCAGAGGACCCACCTAGGTTCAGTTCCCAGCACCCACATGATGGCTAACAACCTCCTGTAACTCCAGTTCCAGGGGATCCAACACCCTCTTCTTACCTCCATAGGCATTGTATGACATGGGTGCACTTACATACATGCAGACAAAACACTCATACACATAAAATAAAAATAATGAATAAGAGCTGGGTGTGGTAGCACACACCTTTAATCCCAGCACTCAGGAGACAGAGGCAGGCAGATGTGAGTTTGAGACCAGCCTGGTCTCCATAGTGAGTTCCAGGTCAGCTGTGGCTACAGGAAGACCCTATCTCAAAAAAGCCCAAAAAATAACAAAATGTCCATCTGTACACACAAATCTCTGCTGACTACCTTTCAATGAGGGAAAGACGATAATCTGATCTACATACCCAGCCTCAGCTCTGATCTTTTTCCTTTTGCTAGGTCTGTGTGGGGATATGTGCACATGAGTGCAAGCGCCTGTGCAGACCAGGAGTCTCAAATCCACCAGGAGCTGGAGTTACAGGCAGTTGTAAGCTACCCAAGGTGAGTACTGGGAACAGAACCTGGGTCCTCTGGAAGAACACTACACATTCTTAATCGCTGAGCCATCTTTCCAGCCCCAATTTTCTCAATTTTGTAAAAAATATAAATGGTGATAGCTAGGCACAGTGGCACACACCAGCAGTCAGGAGGCAGGGGAAGGCAGATCTCTGTGAGATCAAGGTCAGCCTGGTCATCTACATAATCAGTTCCAGATCAGCTGGGGCTACAGGAAAACCCTATCTCAAGAGATAAATAGATGATAGATAGATGATAGATAGATAGATAGATAGATAGATAGATAGATAGATAGATGATAGATAGATAGATGATAGATAGATGATAGATAGACACATAGATAGATGATAGATACCTGATAGATTGATAGATGAAGATAGATAGATAGATAGATAGATAGATAGATAGATAGATAGGTGATAGATAGATGATGGATAGATAGATGATAGATTGATGGATGATGGATGTTAGATGGATGATGATAGATAGATGATAAGTAGATGATTGATAGATAGATAGATAGATAGATGATAGATAGATAGATAGGTAGATAGATGGATGATAGGTGATAGATAGATATAGATAGATAATATATAGATAGATGATAGATAGATAGATAGATAGATAGATAGATAGATAGATAGATAGATGATAGACAGAATGGTAAGACAGAAAGGAAACATCAAGTTAGAAAAAGATCAAAAAGCTGCAGAGATGGGTCAACAGTTAAGAACACTTATTGCTCTTCCAAAGACCAGAGTTGAGTTCCCAGCTCCCACGCTGGGTGGCTCACAACCAGCAGAACCCCCAGCTCCAGGAGATCCCACCTTCTTCTTACCCCATGGACACCCACACACAGGTGGCATATGCATACATATACACTAAATACAAAGTTTTTAAAAAAGATATCAAGCTATAGATATGAAATGTATTTTTGGTGAAGAAAGTTAAACAATATCTTAGTTACTTTCTGTTGCTGTGATAAAACAATGGCCAAAACCGGCTTGGGGAGGAAAAGGTTTATTTTATCTTATTTTTCCACGTGACCATCCATCACTGAGAGAAGTCAAGGTAAGAACCTGGAGGTGGGAACTGAAGCAGAGACCTTGAGGAGAGCTGACTTCTGGCTTCCTCAGTTACATTTCTTATACAGCGCAGGCCCACCTGCCCAGGAATGGCACTGCCCACAGTTGGCTGGCCCCTCCAACAAGAAAATGGCTCACAGACATGGCCAGGGGTCAGTCTGATGGAGGAAATTCCTCAATTCGGGTTCCTTCTTCCCACGTAACTGGTTTGTGTCACGTTGATAAACACTAACCAGCACACACAAAAGAAGGGAAGTGCTTTTAGGTAAGAAGGATTTGGGGGACTAGGGAAATTAATCAGTGGTTAATGTACTTGCCACATTAGCAAAAAGACCAGAGTTCAGATCCCAAGACCCTATATAAATTCTGGATGAATATGGAACCTTCCTGTAATTCCAGCCTCAGAAAAGAGAAACAGAGGATCCACCAAACAAGCTGACTAGCAAAACTAAGCCATGTTGGTGAGCTCTGAGATTGATTGAGAGACCTTGCCTCAGAGAAAATAGTGGAAGAGAGATGCACACACAGCACAAGCACCCTCTCACAAACATGCAGAAGCATGCACACCACACATACACATGAGAAGAAGGATAAAAGGATAAAGGATAAAGTAAGATTTTGTCCTAAGGTAAAAGATTTTAAGAAGGAAATAGATGGGGGGAAACAAGAAAAATTATTTCATAAAAAGATACTTAGAGTTAAAAACTTAAAGAAAGATGACCTTAAAGTAACTTTAACTCAACTTACTGTTGTCGGAAATACCAAAAGATTTATGTTAACTCTCCTTGTTCAAATTATACACACAAAAAATCAATTAGTCTCCAATGATAATATTTATTAAGTTTTAAAACTTCAGAGTCCATGTTTCTTGGACTAATTAAATGAATATTTAATGTGTTCTGAAGTTTAGCCAAGATTTTAAAATCACTTAAACAATATTCTATTTTGGATAATAAAGAACTGATGGAAAATATTACAAGTGACTCCCATTGGAGCACATTTCTCTTTCTGATCATAAAATTAAAAATAATATGCCCACAAAACCTATAAATCACGATTTCCAACAGGTCTGACATCTTGTTTCTTTTTTTTTCAAGTATTTTATTTTTTATTATTTCTATTTTATGTGTATTACTGTATTGCCTACATGTATGTAAGTGCACCATGCAATACCAGTAGAGATCAAAAGAGGGCATCGGATTCCCTGGAACTGGAGTTATGAACAGTTGTTAGCTGCCATGTGGGTGCTGGGAATTGAACCCCAGTCCTCTGGAAGAGCAGCCTGTGCTCTTAACCACTGAGCCATCTCTCCAGTTTTAATGGATATATTTTCAAAGAATAAATTTGTTCTTACGGAATCTTCTGTTACTGACAGTATAATCATTTGTAAAAAGTTAAGGAAGTGCTACTCTTCCCTCTAAATGTTTGTCTTAGAAATGAGTTCCTTTGTATTATTTTACTTTAAAAATTATATATATATACACACTGTGTGTGTGTGGACATGCCTCAGCACACATATAGAGGTCAAAGGACAACTAACAGCAGTCAGTTCTCTCCTTCCACCTTGTGGGTTTCAGGGATCAAACCCAGGTCCTTGTGCTCCACAGCAAGTACCTTCTCCCTCTGAGCCAACTGGCTATCCCCTTCCTTCCTTCCTCTCTCCCTCCCTCCTCTCTCCCTCTCTCCTCTCTCCCTCCCTCCCTCCTTCCTCCCTCCCTCCTCTCTCCCTCCCTTCCTTCAGGCATCCCTGTGATGTTGGCAGGCAAGACTTGAACCAGATGGAGCCTCACTACATAATATATGAAATATCCAGGATAAAATCTCAAATCCCTCGATACACAGAGAACCAGGGAGCTCAGACCTCACCAGGAAAGACAGCGGCTGGCAGCCGGACTGAAACAATACAGGCACGGCCATTTTCTGATGACTTTAAAAACAGCTATTATTTTGTGTTAAAATCCCTGCTGTAAGCAATTATAAACACCCATGAACAAATGAAAGCCTCTCTCTTTTTATTTTAGTGAAGTTTGAAACAAGATCTCACTGAGTTGCCCAGGCTGGTCTTGACCTTGTGACCCTCCTGCCTCAGTTTCCTGGGTAGCTGGAATTTTAAGTGTAGCACAGAAGACGTATTTCAGCAGCGTTCAGATGCTCACTAGTTCAGGGGATGAGATGTCAAAGGGATTTGGTGTCATTTTAATGACGCTAAATGCAATAAACTTTCAGGGCAGCCACTTCTCTGCCTTTCTCTGTCCTTGAGAGGTGTGAGACCCCATGTCACTGCCTCCCATGGAGGGCTGGCCCCAACAGGTGGAGTTCATCTTCCCTCTGTCCTTTCCTTCCCCCCCTCCTTCCCTCCCTCTCTCCTTTTTTCCTTCATTCCTTTCCTCCCTCCCTTTCTCCCTGCCGTTCCTTCCTTCCCTCCCTCCTTCCTACACCCTTTCCTCCCTCCCTTTCTTCCCTCCTTCCTCTTTCCTTCCTTTCTTTTTCGTCCTCCTCCCCCTCGTTTTTTTAGCTAGCTCTAACTCACTATGTCGAGTAGGCTGGCCTTGAACTCCTGATTCTCCTGTCTTAGGGTCCCAGCTTGAATTAAATTTCTTTAAATTTGCATATTGTTTTTTATTAATCCAAGCATTAAGAAATAGTTTGACTTTTCGACTGTAAATCCAATGCAGATAGAAGGTTCCCTCCAGATGTTGCCTTCATACACATTTCCCAATGCCCCTTGCCCACTTTTTCCATTTTTCAGTAATTCATTGGGGAGGGGGGTGTAGCTAACTGTGAAAATAGAGAAAAGGTGTTTTTCAGAACATGCAGTTTCAGATTCTCTTGGGTGGAGGTACACCCTAGTGATGTTCCCTCCGACCATGGGAAGCCTCCAGACTTTTTCACTGTCTCACGCCACAGGCCGTCCCTGCATGGACTACACCTAATACTCTAATACCATCACCTGATGTAGGCGGGCCTTGACAAACAGAAAGTCAAAACGCGCCATGATAAGTACTGGCAGACGCGTCTTGGCTTCGGAAGTCTAAGTACGCATGTGCGCACGGCACAGCCACCCAAACAAACCCTGGTCCGAGTAGAAATGGACCCCGAAGTTCCCTAAGGAGCCGTTTCACCTTGCATTTGCTCGTGGGTCTTCGTTAGCATTGGGGACCCCAGCGTCGGTGACCGGAAGTCCCCGCGAGCCCGGGTGGCGTGCCGTGTGCAGAGGCGCTGAGCAGGGTGAGGTGAGCGGCGGGGGGAGGATGCTGGGCGGTGATGGGTTTGTGCAGAGTGATGGGTTGATTCCAGGAGCAGGGAGGACTGCAGGGATGACTCGTGTCCAGACGGGATGTGGGCTGCTGCGTGGTCCTCTGTGGACGTTGTCCTCCGAGCACCGAGGACAGCACTGGGGACCCTGGGAAGACTCCCCGTGGGTGCTGCAGGAGTCCGTGCTGGGTGGAACTGGAGCTTCAGGTGGAGGACTTGGAGGGTGGGTGGGGATGGAGGAGTCTGGACAGCAGGTTGTTGAGGATGGAGCCCAGCCCGCAGGCCTGGGGGAGGGGGTGCTTGGTTTGGTCCCAAGCTGAGGACGCAGAGCCATCTCCATCTGCCCCTGCCTTCTCCATGGCAGGTGTAAAGTTCCAGAACGGTGGGGCAGGTCCAAGAGGTCTGCATGCCTGTAGCCGTGGGCTCCAGTCCCCGGGGCTGGGTGTGAGCTGTCCTGCCTGTACCAGGGACCAAGGCTCCTGGAGCAGGTGGTTTCCATCCCCCAGACGATACTGCAACTAGAGCTGCAAAAGACAAGTTTAAAGGGAGTCCTTATGCCTAGGACCACTGTATTTTGAGTATTGGGGTCCTTTGTAGATGTATGGATAGGTCAGTGCAGGGTTCTCCTTAAGGGAAAGGCATGAAGCGAAAAATAAAAGTACATAAAACGGGGGAATTAGGGTGTGGAGAGATGGCTCAGGGGTTAGGCGCACTGGCTGCTCTTGCAGAGGACCCAGGTTTGGTTCCCAGCACCCACATGGCGACCAACAACCTTCTGTAACTCCGGTTCTAGGGGACCCATGCCCTCGTCTGACCTCCGTAGGCACTGCCCAACTGCCCAACGCATGTGCACTTACGTGCAGGTAATACACTCATACACATAAAATAAAAATAATAAATAAAACCAGAAAATGCATATATACATTTAACTATACATGAACCCTGTCCCCAGAACTAGGAGGTAGCTGTTCTGTTGGTACCACAGGCCAGAAGTGCTTGGGGAGGGCCATTTCCATTCCCAGTAGGCACTAGAGCAAATGAATGAATACATAAATAAATAAAAATTTAAAGAACAAATCCCAGTTACTTCCTCCTCTGTTCATGAGTACTGAGGTCCTTTGGAGATGTGGATGAGTTAGCTCTGGCCTTTTCTTGGAACCCTGTGGACATAATAAGGATCAGTGATCGGCCACTGATCAGAATGATGTTGCTTTCACAATGGGACATGCAAAGGGTTATTTGGGGCGGTCCTTGTGAATTGAAGTTCCAAGGAAAAGCTGTACCTATGTTGAAGATTTTTGCCAGACTCACTGATTAGGATCCTTGTAGAAGATTAGGATGTTGCAAATCTAGAGCCAAAAATCAACCATCAGGCAAAACTTTTTTTTTTTTTTTGGTCTTTTTGGGACAGGGTCTCCCTGTAGCCCCAGCTGGCCTAGAACTCACTATGTAGACCAGGCTGGCCTTGAACTCACAGAGCTCTGCCTGCCTCTGCCTCCCAAGTGCTGGGATTAAAGGTGTGTGCCTCCACGCCTGGCTTGGGTAAACCTTTTTTTAAATGTATTAACAGACCACTAGCTTCCACCAACCCAAAAGTTAAGAATATCATCAAATTACATCCAAAACCCATATTTCTCCAGTTTGCTGTAACCTACCTACCTAATGTTCCCACCAATTTAGAAAATGCCTTGATATGACTTTCTTTTTTCCTTTCTTAGTGTAACCACTTCCACACTGGAACATGTTACTCAGGGTAGTCTGAATCCATGTTCCCAGGCCATGACCATACCCATATAATAAATGTCTTTTGTTCCCTTTGAGGTGAGAGCTGAGTTTTTCTTTGACATCTCTGGTAAACATTTACTGTCTATCATAGTAGTCAAGATTTCAGGAACCTGAAACATGTCAGTGACTGGGAGGTGGTTTATAACCATGAAGTCCTTAGGTCCATTTGCTGGGGGTTACTGGAAACCTTTGATGTCAATGACTCCATGTAGATATATTGTGGAAAACTCCTTATGGACAGGCAAGAAGTGTTCAGTGGAGGTCCTGGGCATGCGTTCAGGATCTGGGCCAAGCAAGAGATTGGGTCAGTGAATTTGTTCAGGAAAAAATAGGCTGCATGTCGTGTCATGAAGGGACTCAGAAATCTCTAGGAACTCAAAATGGCTATCATTATCCAAAGCTCTCTCAGGCAACAAGAAACAGAAGAGCAAAGGTTACTGCTGTACTGTCCTGGAGTTCTTTGTGATTTTGAGCCAGAGTCTCCTGTCGCTTGGGCTGCCCCCTTGTCTAGTTGAGGATGGCTTTGAACTGATCTTCCTGCCTCCACCTCCTAAGTGCTGGAATTGCTGATGTGTCCCACCACACTTTGCTTCTTTCCAGATTTTTTTTAATGTGTATGAGTGTATTGCCTGCATGTGTGTAAGTGCACCCATGTCTTACAGTGTCTGTGGAGGTCAGATCACCTGGAACTGGAGTTACAGGCAGTTGTTAGCTGCCATGTGGGTGCTAGGAACTGAACCCAGGTCCTCTGCAAGAGCAGCCAGTGCTCTTAGCCACTGCCAGGCAGGTGCTTAGGGCCTGATGAACCTCATCCTGAATCCAATTCCCAGTGCTTATGAAGGGTACCTTTATTCTCACTTTGGAAACAACTAAATAAACAGCTTCCTATTCTCATTTAGGAGTCAAGAGAACAGCTGGAATTTCCCAAAGTTGAGGGCTTCTTTTCTGTGTTTTTCCCTTTAGAACCCTGATTAATAACACAAGTTGGACCTTTCTGAGCTCTGTGTGTCCCACAATGTCTACATATGACCTTCACCTTGGGCCCTACAGACATCGCTATCAAATGTTGGATCAGTGACTACATGGCCATTGCCTTTTTTAGGACTCTCTGCACCTCTGCAGACCCCTGGGTCAGGCCACCTCATTCAGGCTGCTGAATTCCCCATCATACCACAGCTGGCCTCACCCGGCACCTCTGCCCGGAGCCTCCAGATGCCCACCCAAGTTGATGGTCCTGAGAAAACCCTGATCTGCCAAGGAAAACACAAAAAGTCCAGTGGGAACGGGCCTGTAGGCATGAGTTCATCCCAGAAACTCCAGACTCTGCATCCAGAGCAGCAGGATGCATCTTGTGAGGTATGTGGGTGCTGCCCTAAGTCCACTTTTTCATACCCGCAGGGAAGACACCAGAAGCAGATTCCAAGTTCCTTCTTCCTAGAATGGTCTTAGTTATCCACCCAGGAATAGATTAGGGGGTGGAAGGGAGGAGGAGTGCATCTAAACCTCCTTATTTATTTTTAGTGTGTGTGTGTGTGTGTGTGTGTGTGTGTGTGTGTATGTGCATGCACATGGCTATGCAAATACATTCATGTATATGTGCATGTGGAGGCCAGAGGTTGATGACAGGAATCTTCCTCAATCACTGTCCACCTTACTTTTTCAGACAGGATCTGTCACTGAAATAAGAGCACCAGTTCAGTGACCCCCTGATCCTCCTGCCTCAGCCTCCCCTAGTACCCTGCTGCAGCAGGCTTTTTTTTAAATCAGTTTTTATGTGTATGAGTGTTTTGCCTGTGTGTGTGTAAGTACACCCATGTTGTGCAGAACCTGGGGAAGTCAAAAGAGGGCATCAGATCCCCTGGAACTGGAGTTATGGAAGGTTGTTAACCACCGTGTGGGTGCTGGGAACTGAACCCAGATCCTCTGCAAGAGCAGCAGTGCTCTTAACCACCAAGCCATCTCCCCAGTGATAGATAAAAAAAAGTAGCCATATGATGAATAGGGTTGATCAGGAGAAAGCAGAGTTTATTAGCAAAGGAACACATGGGACAGATTCCCTTCCAGGCAGGGAAAATGTCTGCCCCAGGTCGGGTCATGAGCTGGGGTCTTTTAAGGGGGAGACTTCTGCTTCCTGCAGAAGGTGGGAAGATGTATTTTTTTTAAGTTGGGGTGGGGGAGCAGGACAGTGGGGCTGTTGAAACCTGTCCTCTTTAGAGATCAAACGGGAAGCCTGTTGTGTTGGCCAAACAGTGGAGAAAAGTCTGCCTCTCTTGACTTCAAAGACCAGGGTGCTTATCAGCTTGGTTCCCTTTTCTCAGGAGCTTGAGAAGTCCATGAGACCCTGTTGGTGAGGGGGCGAGGCTATCTGAACCTTAACGCCCAGCCCTTATTCTGTTCACCAGATTTTCTCCTGTGTGTCATGTGTGTGTGTGTGTGTGTGTGTGTGTTGTGTATGTATGTATGTGTATGTGTCGTGTATGTGTCGTGGGTGTGTCATGTGTGTCATGTGGGTGTGTCGTGGGTGTCGTGTGTGGGGGGTGTCATGTGTGGGTGTCATGTGTGGAGGGGTGTCGTGGGGGAGTGTCGTGGGGGGGTGTATGTGTGTCGTGTGTGTGTGTGTGTGTGTGTCATGTGTGTCGTGTGTGTCGTGTGGTGTGTGTGTATGTTTGTGTGTGTTGTATGTGTTGTGTATGTGTGTGTGGTGTGTGTGTGTGTGTCCTCTTTTCGGGGAGAGGGAGGAGTGCTAGGGATAGAACCCAGGGCCTGCTGGGCATGGTGGCGCATGTCTTTAATCCCAGCACTCGGGAGGCAGAGGCAGACGGATCTCTGTGAGTTCAAGGCCAGCCTGGTCTACATAGTGAGTTCCAGGACAGCTGGGGCTACAGGGAGACCCTGTCTTAAAAAGACCAAAAACAGCTGGGCGTGGTGGCGCACGCCTTTAATCCCAGCACTTGGGAGGCAGAGGCAGGCTGCTACAGGGAGACCCTGTCTCAAAAAGACCA